TAGCTTCAGATCACCACCTAGTTGTGGTCAGCTGTTCAATACAGCCTTCCTTCGAGATACTGACAAACTCAATGAATTCAAGATAGCTCTCAACAACAAGTTGCAAGCCTTACAGGATCTACTGAAAGAAGAAGAAACTACTATGGAGGACAACTGGAAAGGTATCGAACAAGCATTAACTCCAAAGTGTCAAGAGGTTCTTGATTAGAAGAAACATCATCATAAGGAATGGAACCCTACAGAAACACTGGACAAGATCAAAGAAAGGAAGAACAAGAAGACAGCAATTAGCAACAGCTGAACACGAGCAGAAAAAGCCCAAGCACAAGTTGAGTACATGGAGGCAAACAAGCAAGTGAAGAAGAGTATTAGAGCCGACAGGCAGAAATATGTAGACGAACTAGCAACGACGGCGGAAAAAGCTGCAAGAGAAGGAAATATGAAACAACTTTACGATACAACGAAGAAAATAGCAGGGTAATATAATAAACCAGAGAGACCGGTCAAGGACAAAGAAGGCAAGCCAATCACCAAAATTCAACAACAGCGGAACAAATGCGTAGAGTACTTCGAAGAACTCCTGAGTAGGCCGGCTCCAATGAATCCACCGGACATCGAAGCAGCGCACACAGATCTTCCTATAGATGTCAATCCACCAACGACGGAAGAAATCAGAATGGACATCAGACAAGTCAAGAGCGGGTAAGCAACAGGACTCGACAAAATAACAGCTGAAGCATTGAAGTCAGACATCGAAGTAACTACAAACATGATTCAACTTTTATTCAAAAAGATTTGAGAGGAGGAACAAGTGTCGATGGACTGGAAAAAATGACACCTCATCAAGATTTCGAAGAAAGGAGATCTGAGGCATCACGCTGCTATCAGAAACAGTGGAAGTCTTCAACAGAGTGTTGCTGAACCGGATGAAGGATGCAGTAGACGCCCAACTTCGCTATCAACAGGCTGGATTCCGTAAGGATCGGTCGTGCACAGACCGAATTGCGACAATACGGATCATCGTCAAACAATCAGTTGAGTGGAACTCGTCACCGTATATCAACTTCATTGACTATGAGAAGGCGTTTGACAGTGTAGATAGGAGAACGTTATGAAAACTTATTCGACACTACGGAGTTCCTGAGAAGATTGTCAATATTGTCCGTAACTCATACGACTGACCACAGTGCAAGCTCGTGCATGTAGGACATCTGACAGGTGCATTCCAAGTAAGAACCGGAGTCAGACAAGGCTGTTTACTCTCTCCCTTTCTCTTTCTTCTGGTGGACGACTGGATTATGAAGACCCCGATATCTGAAGGAAAACACGTAATACAATGGACAGCTCAGAACCAATTAGACGATTTGGACTTCGCAGATGACCTAGTCCTCCTATTGCATACACACGAACAAATGCAGATAAAGACAGCCAGTGTAGCAACAGTCTCTGCATCAGTGGGCCGCGACATACACAAGGGGAAAACCAAGGTCCTCAAATCCAGCACGGAGAACACCAATTCGATCACAGTTGATTAAGAAACTCTGGAAGATGTAGAATCCTTCACATACCTGGGAAGCATGATAAATGAACAAGTTGGTTCAGATGCAAACGTAAAGGCGAGGATTGGCAAAGCAAGGGCCGCATTCCTACAATTGAAGAACATATGGAACTCAAAACAACTTTCAACCAATATCAAAGTGAGAATCTTCAATAAGAATGTCAAGGCAATTCTACTGTATGGAGCTGAAACTTGGAGAACTACAACAACCACATTCAAGAAAGTACAAGTATTTATAAATAGCTGTCTACGCAAGATACTCAACATCTATTGGCCGGATACCATCAGCAATAGCCTTCTGTAGAAGAGAACAAACCAGCTTCCAGCTGAAGAGGAAATTAGGAAAAGACGATGGAAATGGATAGGACATACATTACGCAAATCGTCAAACTGCATCACGAGGCAAGCTATAACTTGGAATCGTGAAGGGAAGCGAAAAAGAGGAAGGCCAAAGAACACATTACGTCGGATAATAGAAGCAGATATGAAAAAGATGAATAGGAACTGGAAGGAGCTAGAAAGGATTGCCCAGGACATGGTTGGATGGAGAATGCTGGTGAGCGGCCTAAGCCCCTTCACGAGGAGTAACAGGCGTAAGTAAGTAAGTATCTTTACACTGTAACTACATCACAAAGAGTCTATTGGGGGCTTTTTATCAGATATTACTGGTTTATTAATATTCTCTTTGGATATGAAAGTATTAAATTACTTTTTCAGCCTAGAGATTCTGTCGTTCAGAATATTAGACAATTTAGATCTATTTTTTGTTATCATCTATTCATCAGCTAAACTGGGAATGTTAATCATCTTTCTCTCGTTATTGACTAAGTAGTAACTGTTGACAATGTTTGTTGCTAATTGCTATATCATTTTAATAGTTGAGATCATGAGTTATTTGAAGCTAGACCACCATGGAAAACGTGGGAGCATTCGCCGGCCATTTCGTCTTATTGTGAGACTCCTCAGTAGTGCGCACCCACAATCCCGCATCACGAGATTCAAAGCCAAAATCTATCAGTCTTGCACACAAACTCTTAGTTTGCAGACCAATGAATTGATTAACGCCATTGGATGCCGGCAGGCTCAGTTTTCTAGTGGTTAATCGCTCGTGCACGAGACCGATAGGTCCATGGTTCGAATCTCGTGAGGCGGGATCGTGAATGCGCACTACTGAGCATTCCCACAATAGAACGAAACGGCCGTCCATTGCTTCTATGGTTATCTTGTTTCAATTGAATCAGGATTTTAACTAATAAATAATCTCTTCATTCAATATTACATGTTTTACACAGTGAATATTCTTAGTAGAAAAATGATTTTTTCTAATAAATTCACAACGCTATATTAGTGAAGATATGAATATCGGAAATAATTGTATTCTTATTACTGATAGTGTTGCAGATCTGACAGTGATATACACTTTGCTACGCGCTAACCTCGCTAACTGAATCACTGGGCGAGAAGACAAGAGTGAAATTCAAAGTCTATTAGAGTATCGAATAATATGCATAAATACTCATTTATATAAATATATACCCCTTTGAATAATCATTCCATTTCTTAGCCACTGATGTACATTTTACCCTCAAGGTTATTCTTGATTGTTTTCATATGAAGTTCCCATGTGGCCATTTCTGATTGGCTGACTTTATCATGGATACAAATAACTGAGACCTTTCTTCATCCCCAAATGTCAAAGACTAGTTTTGTATCTATGACAATGTGATTAATCACTAGATTTTTTTGATCTAAAGATATTAGTGTAATCATTTGTTGGTTTTCAAAAAGACAGACAAAGAGAACAATATACAAATTATTTAGTTGGTTAAGTAAAGATGGATACTAGCTAGCATTGAAATTCAGGACGCGCGTTTCTTCTTGTCTGGGACTCATCAGTTGGATCTATCAAGGCAATACGTACAGGATGTACATATACCAACAAGAGACTGATCAATTGCAGTCCTAAACAACAATGGGAAGATACAAGCAAACAACACCAAGTGTATTTTGACGGTTTTTTTCGTAGCACTTATCACATTGAAAATAGTTATATATCACATATCCTAAGAGTTCACTATTGATAACATACTTATTAATTTTCGCCTGCTGCCCCCAATAGAGTATAGGTCGCCGAATAGTATTCTCCAACCCAATCTTTCCTGGGCCTTCCTTTCTTGCTTTATCCAATTGTTGTTCAATCTTCTCATATCTGTCTCTATTTCTCAGCGTAATGAGTTCTTTAATCTTTCTCTTCTCCTTTGGCTTTGAAGATTCCAAGTAACATAATTCGGTGCTTTCCTCAATAGGGAACACATTGAGGAATCCACTTAACTACGGCAAAAGACAAGCCCTAACTTGAAATCCTCAAAGCCATAGAAGAAGAGAAAGACGAGCAACCTCTTGATCCAAATCACTTAGATTAACTTCATTAATGGAATGATATCAACCAATCAACCAACAAACAAGTTTTCATCAGAATGAGTTTTGTGGATATTTTAGGAAATTTCACTGGTTGAATTCATGAGTCAGTTGAAGCTAGACCACCATTGAAAACCTGGAAGCACTGGACAGCCGTTTCGTTCTAGTATGGGACTCCTCGGCAGTGCGCATCCACGGCTGTCCAGCGCTTCCAGGTCTTCCATGGTGGTCTAGCTTCAATTGACACACGATCCCAATTATTGAAATTACTACAATCTCCTCAAAACCCCTTCTGATACTAATCAACATATACTCACTAGTGACTGGCTTCAAGAGATATATCCTGGAGTTCTAGTGAGAAGCAGTGACCAGTGGAGTTCAGCCGGGTCTGTTGTGAGATATCAGCTCACTGAAGACAATGGTGTTCGGTGGCGCAACTTCGTAGATTGGTTAAAGTTAGACATTAACACCGTTGGATGCCGGCTCAGTGGTCTAATGGTTAAGTGCTCGCGCGCAGATCCAGATCCAGTAGGTCCTGGGCCCGAACCCCGCGGTGGGGGGCGGGTTCGTGGATGCGCACTGCAGAGGAGTCCCATACTAGGACGAAACGGCCGTCCAGTGCTCCTAGATTTTCAATGGTGGTCTAGCTTCAACTGACTCATGATTTCAAAAAGTGAAACAAGTTCTTGTTAACGAAAATGTTTTCTTATAAATTACACATTCTTGGAGATAATGCACAAACAACAACAACAAAATAAAATGACTTTACAATATCAGATACACATGTGTATAGATTCAAGAAAAATTAAATCTTTGTAATACAATCCACACTCCCTCACACACTCACACATACATACATACATACATACACATACAAACACATACAACTATACTACACAATAGTATCAGTACTTATTTGGCATTGATAAGTCTAAATAGACATAGCACATATACTTTGATTACAAATATAGATTGGATTAAACTAAACGTGAATGATTCTGATGAACTATTATCGACTATATAGATTATGTAACCTTTATATACGCACTTAAGTGTTCTCTTTCTGATCAAGGTCATTTATTTGATTATATATATTAAAACAAAATCAGTAATTTAAGAAAATTTGATACAATTAAGAGATTAGTACATTGAACTAATAAGAATGTAAGTAAATAATCATATTGTAATTGATAAATAGTATTCTATAATAATTTTTAATTAATTTATTGAGATCATGAACTGATCATTGTTATTACTTACTACTTATTTACTTACTTATTCCTGTTAATCTTAATGTAGGATAGTCCATCGACTAGCATTCTCCAACCCAATCTGTCATGGACCTTCCTCTCTAGTTCTATCCAATTCTTGTTCATTTTTCTCATGTCTATCTTTGGTCTTCCTCTTTTCCTTTGGCCTTGAAGATTCCAAGTGAGGGCTTGCTTTGTGACGCAGTTGGGTGCTTTCCTCAATGTGTATCCTATCCACTTCCATCACTTCATCCTGATTTCTTCCTCCACTGGAATCTGGTTTGTTCTCTCCCTCTATAAGTTGTTGCCGATAGTGTATGGCCAACGGTTCTGAAGTATTTTGCGTAGACAACTGTTAATAAACACTTGTATCTTCTGGATGATGGCTTTCATAGTTCTCCAGGTTTCCACCCATTCAGTACAACTGCCTTGATATTTGTATTGAAAATTCTAACCTTGGTGTTGGTTGACAAATATTTCGAGTTTCAGATGTTCTTCAGTTGTAAATATCCTGCTCTTGCTTTGCCAACCCACGTCTTCACGTCTGCATCAGATCCACCGCCTAGAGCCCCTGGGGATGCTGCCGGTCCCAAACCCGGATAAAGGAAGAGGGTCGGGCATGGGGTTAGCCACCTCATCCCGTAGAAAACTAACTCGCTAAAAAAACACTAACCAGAAAAAGTAATTCGATCATTGTTATACTACTCTGGAAAACACAAAAATATCGGATGACCGTTTCGTCTTGGTATGGAACTTCACATCAATGAGCATCCATAATCCGGCATATGGGATTCGAACCTAAGATCCTAGGTTTTACACATGAACGCTTAAATTTTAAATCAATGAACCAATATCCAATAATATTAATATCTAACTTTAATCAATCGACGATATTACATGATCACCTGCGATTGTTTTCAGTATGTAATTGCCTTACCCCCTACACGGTTGAAGTCCATTAATCACGGATTCATTAACAGAGCCATATAAACATCCGCTACTACTGTCATTGTTAAACTTTTGAAAGATCTTATTTAAAATAGGAAAAATTGATGAATTTCAATTTAATGTTACATGTTTAAACTAATAACTTTCTCGTTTAATCTCTAACCAGTAACAAGTATTGTATAATGATAAAAGTTATTATAGGATATAAGACTCTATACAGTAATTCCATGACTATTAAAGCCTTTCAGTACTGTCCATTTCTATTATTCTTTTGTTTACTATTTTATGATATCTTACACAAACAACATAAAGTTTGTAGTATTGTCTGTATAGTATCATGTTCATTTCATATTGAACGCTCTCCTGAAAAGTCATCCTGTTCTCCTCTTATTTCCAATTCATATTTGCTTCTGATAACAAATTTAGTTTCACATATTATGATTTGATTTTAATAGAATCTCATGCGTAAACACCCGATTGTTACTGGTACCTTGACGTGGTAGTCCGGCTTGCCTATCGTCTGTCTATCAATTAAGGGAACAGTATACTGTGCAGCAATTCGTTTTGTTCTACTTTACAGCTGCAAAACGTGAACATTAAGAGTAGAAAATACTCGTAACTTACTGGTATTTAATCACAGATACCTTAGAAATATTGCTCGCATCTGCTGGCATCACCAGGTAAGTAATAGTGAGGTTAGACAAAGGGTATAAGGGAATGATGGTAAGTCAGTTGATGAGGTTGTAAATCTTCATCGACTGAGATAGTTAGGCCACGTGTTACGTATGCCTGAATACCAATTAACACGACGCGAAATGCTGACTAGTGTTGGGGCGGTTGGAAGAAAGAGGCGGCCGAACCAAAATGTGGTATCAGTACACAAAGTTAAAAAATTCTCTTCCTTACAAGAAAGCCCTCAAATGCCCTGATACGGTCGAGGGTGGGAAGAGTCAGCTCTCCATCTCAGAATGCTCTCACATGGACACGCGTATACAGCCACTCTCAGGGAAGTCCTATTCACTGCCTTCTCGTGGCATTACTACGGATATCTATTTAGAATATATATATAGATGAAATATACATTAGTTGATTACTGAATTGTAATCGATGCCACTATTGTCTAATACACCGCCACTCTTGTCTAATTCTGTAGATAAACTTTCAATGTGGTTATTAATCTTGTTGACTTGATACCATATGCACTATATAAAGGTATTAGATGGTGTTAATTTGTTAACAGGATACAACTTAAACAAAAGTTTTGAGTTAGGTGTTATACTCCAGTATGAAATACCCTTAATCCTAAACAAAGTGATTCTCTCACTGACAAAAATTCTATTCCCTAAACACTGATATTTTCAGGTAGTTCATATATTAAAATGTAATTATTTAACGTCAAACTCTTTACTTATCGTATCAAGTTTACTTAACATACAAATGTAAAACCGTAATGTAGTGTTTATTGTTATGGTAACTGGGATCTATTTATGATCTAATAAGATAGATATATTTTTATTGTATAATTGTTGAGTAATTAAGTTAAGTAACTACATATTTATGTTCCTCTTATTATAAGCATCATTTTGACCTAAAAACTATTATTATACGATTTACCGTCCTTGAGTTGTGCTTGGTCTATCAATGACTACCTCCCACATTCACAGCCACATTCGCCTTGATCTTGTACATATGTTGTTTCCTATTTTATGGTACTATGTGGTCTGTTTGGTTTGTAAATAAACCCAGTATGTTTGAAATACACGATTCACATAGCAGAGGCTGAGATTGGAGTTATTGACTCAACAGACAGTCAGGGCTAGGCGGGAAGAAGAACCGATGAAGACTGTAGACTGCTCGTACGAGTTTTATGCATCATTGGTCCAGTCGATAAATCACTGTTCTCTAATTGGCGGTATCATTACATCATGTATTGATAGGAGCACAAGTCTATAAGTTATAACAGTTATACAATACATAAAAAAGTAATTTGTATCTAACATACTGGACTGTCCGACATGTCAGCTCATTCAAATGCCAATAAAGTGGAGTTATTGTAATGTCAATAGTTGAGATGATGAGTCAATTGAAGCTAGACCACCATTGAAAACCTGGAAGCACTGGACAGCCGTTTCGTTCTATTGCGGGAACCCCCCCGCAGTGCGCATCCACGACCCCACCTCGCGAGATCCAAACCCAGGACCCGTAAGTCTCGCGCCATTCGCCTAACCAACTAGACCACTTAGTTGATATCCAACGCTGTTAATGTCTAACTTCAACTAATCCACAAAATTGAGCAACACATCCACCATTATCATCAGTGAGTTACTACCTCACAACTGACCCGGCTGAACTCCACTGGTCACTACTTCTCACTAGAACTCCAAGATATATCTCTTGAAGCCAGTCACTAGTGAGCATATGTTGATTAGTATCAGAAGGGGTTTTGTGGAGATTGTAGTAATTTCAATAGTTGAGATCATGTGTCAATTGAAGCTAGACCACCATGGAAAACCTGGAAGCGCTGGACAGCCGTTTCGTCCTATTTTGGGACTCCGCCTGGAGTCCCTCCGGGGGCTACTGCCGGTCCCAAGCCCGGATAAAGGAGGAGGGTTGGGCATGGGGTTAGCGTCCCCATCCCGTAGAAAACTAACTCGCTAAAAAAACGCTAACCAGAAAAAATTATTCAAACCTTTTAAACTCTGCCCTGGGAGTCAGAAGGTCTTCATTTAGAAGAATTATGACGCCTCATGATGAAAGCCGAATTCCTTCGGAAGTTACGAGGCCGATGCCCCTTCTGACAACCAGAGCAACCATTTATTTAGGTACATGGAATGTTCGTACAATGTGGGACACCGGAAGAGCCTTCCAAATTGCTGCAGAAATGAGAAGATACAACCTAGAGGTACTTGGGATCAGTGAAACACATTGGACACAAGTTGGACAACAACGACTAACTACAGGAGAGCTCCTGTTATACTCCGGCCATGAAGAAGAAAATGCACCACATACACAAGGAGTTGCATTGATGCTGTCCAAACAAGCGCAAAATGCACTTATAGGATGGGAATCTCATGGACCAAGGATCATCAAAGCCTCCTTCAAAACAAAGAAAGAGGGCATTTCAATGAACATCATCCAATGCTATGCGCCTACCAACGACTACAATGAAGACGCTAAAGATCAATTCTACAATAGGCTGCAGTCAATCGTCGAGAAGTGCCCAACAAAGGACCTGACCATTCTGATGGGAGATTTCAACGCCAAGGTTGGAACGGACAACACTGGATATGAAGACATCATGGGACGACACGGACTGGGAGAAAGAAGCGAAAATGGTGAGAGATTTGCAAATCTATGTGCCTTCAATAAGCTGGTCATAGGCGGCACCGTATTCCCACATAAACGCATACACAAAACCACATGGACTTCACCGGATCACTCTACACAAAACCAAATCGACCATATTTGCATCAACAAAACGTTCAGGAGGACTATAGAGGACGTGAGAACCAAGAGAGGAGCTGATATAGCATCAGATCATCACTTACTGGTCGCCAAGATGAAATTGAAACTCAAGAAGCACTGGACAACGGGGCAGACAGTATCACAAAAGTTCAATACGGCCTTTCTTCAGGATACTAACAAACTCAACAAATTCAAGATAGTCCTCAGCAACAAGTTCCAGGCCTTTCATGATCTACTCAATGGAGAAGGAACTACTGTGGAGAGCAACTGGAAGGGGATCAAAGAGGCAATCACTTCAACATGTCATGAGGTCCTGGGTCACAAGAAGCACCACCACAAGGAATGGATCACTGTTGATACACTGGATAAGATTCAAGAAAGAAGAAACAAGAAGGCAGCGATCAATACCAGCCGGACAAGAGCAGAAAAAGCTAAGGCACAAGCTGAATACACGGAAATAAACAAACAAGTGAAAAGGAGCATCAGAACCGACAAACGTAA